CCCGCCGCCCCCCGCCCCGCTCCGCGAGGACATCACGTCACGCGTGTCGGGTGGGACGCGGACGGACGCCGGCGGCACACCTCGGAGCCCACCCCGCCGGTGTGTCCTGCGCGTCCTGCCACTGGCCCGCGGCCGCAGTCGGCCACAGCCACCGCCACGAGCCGACCCGGGTGAGTCCAGGCGAAGATAAGTTACGAGTCTCGGTACACTACTCACTTGGATGCAGATAATTTTTTAAAAAGTTTCGAGATATTTATGTGATTTTGGAAAAGCGAACCTGATGGATTTTCTTCTTACTGCCAAGGGATTTCAATAGCCTGCTTGTCGCGGAGTAAACTTCGTTCTTAACGCCAGAGTTTTGGTAAGGTGTGACCGCCACCTCATGCACTCTGACAAAAGCCATCGGCAATTCGAATTCGAACTGCCTCGGGGTTTACTATTTCAATGATTTCGGACGTCTTGCAGATGTCTTCGCTCTTTGTTGTGGAGCTCGTACCCGCGGGGGGCACAAGAGCTTCGTATCAGCTCTTCTGCTTTGGAATTCCCTCCATAGGGACCTTGCTAAGAGGGCCATCAGGCCATCGGATATTCGGGCGGGCACGTTATAGATGCCTTAGATTGAGGAACTCAATGTCACACACCAGCGTGTGCTTGCAAGTCTCAAGTACATTTTTCATTTCAAGCCCAATTCAGCCTTGAACCAAGAACATGTGTCTCATTTAAACGCGAAGGGGAACGATTTGGAAACAAAAATCGGGGTTGACTTGAGCCCCTTGAGCCCAAATACTCGATGAGTACAATTGGGGTTGAGATTATCAAGTACATTGCACTCGAATTAGGTACCTTGCACATGATACGAAGAACACGCTTTTCTGGGTGCATTAATTCACCGAATTAAATGCACCCGGCACTGTACAGTACGTCAGCCCGTCTACCTTCGATAAGACCGACTACGAAGGTAGCTGGTAGATATGGATGCGAGGGATGCACGGGGGGAGCCGTCATAGCGCGAGATTGGGAGGGTTCGGCTAATTACAGGTTTCGATAGCGCGTGCGTCACTTCTTAAGAGTTATCTGATCACACATTTTAAGTTGGATGAGTCGCGGCGGCTACCTCCGGTAGCGCGCAGCGGCCCAAACAGCTAGATCAAACACATATGGCGCCACCCTTTCGGGACGTGCTGGTGGTGTAAGCGGCTGGCATTCTTTCATCAGCCACTCGGGCAGTATAGGGTTGGCGCGTTGTCGTGGTCGTACAAGGGTGGTACGTAGACCCCGTCCTTTATTTTGCTTACACTGTTCCGCCATGCAGTCGTGCGGGCGGGTTATGTATACTCACACGGGTCCATAAGGCGCCGTGGGGGGCGACGGTAGGCAAGCCCGCCCGCACGCCTGCATGCGGTACAGTATAAGCAAAATTAAGGGAGGGGTCTATAGACCACCACCCTGTACATGCCCAGGGCTTAAAAGACCTGTCAGCTGGTATGTCAGAGGTGTAAGAGCACTCTGGAGATTGGCTTCTCTCGCCGGAACGATTGCCGCGGAAAAATGACGGGAATTGTTGCCCAACTCCTCCCCCAGAAGCCCTCCATCCATGCGGCGCAGATTAAATCTCCAATGAAGGCAAGGCTTCCGAGAAGCGAGATTTGGCGCTTCGCCCGCTAGGCCGAAAAGTATACAGAACTTAAGTGGGCGATGCGTCATAACGGCATTATCAAGTGATCGCGGCTTTACTCGTTACATGGAAATTGTCCGACCGGAATTTTGCCCCACCTATAGTTTGGGACGTTTATGTTATGTACGGTATAGAGAGCAATGCAGACGAAGGTGTCCAGAGAATAACGCATTCAACTGTCAACCCACTGGAAACGCAAACTTGCTTCTCTGCACGTTTAAAGGGACACTGATAAATTTCTGAGGCTTTAAATAGACACAAAGGCACGATATCGCACCTTTGGGCTGGTGCATTTCTCGACGCAGTAGACGAGCCCCTTTAATAGGCGCCATAGAGACCATCCAGAATGTACGTCCGTCATTCGCCGTTGGGGGAATTGCCAAGTTTAGCCACTGCAAGCACCCATAGCGCCTGGTAGGTAGGCAAAATCTCGTCTGCGGTGCATGCGTGTACGGCGGGGTGGCCTACCCCGAGTTTCACAGGCGCCGAGCTCCCGTGATTCGACTTATCACTTTGTGCAAAACGGACTTAAGTTACTTTCTTGCCAATCCCATATCGCACCTTTGTGTTTCCTGTTCCGAGTTAGCGTGCGGGCAACCGTATGCGGAGGGCCAAGCCATATGCAAGTGGCCCAACTATCAGACGGATTCACAAACGCATCAGCAGTCGGTCTGTCTTCCCTCCGCTGGAGGGCTGGAGGGAGCAGCCACCCCCCCCCCCTCCTCCCCACCTGCGCCGCGCGGCACCTCTCTGGCCGTGGGATACGCAGGACGCACACGCGCGGCCGGGCGCTGCAGCAGATAAAGCCGCGCGGACCACGTGGCCCCAACAAGCGCGTCGCATGATGACATTTCAGACCGACCACTCCTCGCGTCGGGGAGGAAATCGAGCCTTCTTGCCTCGAGCCGTGCTAAAGCAGGTAGCAAGCACCCAGAAAAGTGAAGTGCAAGTTTGTTTTTTCGTGTACTTGATTTCATTCATTTTTGGTGTATGTGTTTGTGGTGGGTGGTGGGTGACGAGTGTGCAACGAATACACTGTCAAAATAACATTAACAAAAAGAATAA